TCGGCCTGCAGACTCAAGGGTCCCAGGTTCAATTCCAGTCAAGGGCATGTACCTTGGTTGCGGGCACATCCCCAGTAGGGAGTGTGCAGGAGGCAGCTGATCGATGTTTCTCTCTCATCGATGTTTCTTACTCTCTATCCCTCTCCCTTCCTCTCTGTAAAAAATCAATAAAATATATCTAAAAAAAATAAAATTGAAAATGAACCAAAAAACTAAAAAGACATATAAATGTTTCCCACTTCACAGGGGGGACGTGAGGATGCAACATATTAATGCACAACAGCTTAGACCAGGGTCTAGCGTGAGCGAGCACTCGGTCGCTGTCAATCCCTGTTCTTGGTTTCACTGTACAAGTGACACCAGAGTCTGGTTCTGTGGCTCTCTGTGGGTTCCTAGTGATCGCCACTTTCCTTGCTGGGGCTCAGGGGCTAGGTTTTGTAAGGTTATTGTCACGTGACTAATGGCTTTTCACTGCTAAGAGATTCTTGTTTGTTTTGTAGGTTTGTTTCTTTTCAAATACAGGCTCATAAGGAGAACTATGAAGTGAAAGATGTGGAGTCTTTCTCTGATACTTACGGCCTCAGATATTAAAAAGACACCTTTAGGTGGGTAACAGAAAGGAGACAAGGGCCCTAGCTGGTTTGGCTCAAGTGAATAGAGCATCGGCCTGCGGACTGAAGGGTCCAGGGTTCGATTCCGGTCAAGGCCACATGCCCGGGTTGCGGTCTCCATCCCCAGAGGCAGCGATCAATGACTCTCTTTCATCATTGATGTTTCTATCTCTCTCCTTCTCCCTTCCTCTCTCTGAAATCAATACCAAAAATAAAAATAAAAAGTCTGTGTGCTTACCCATCATTCTACCCTAAAAAAAAAAAAAAGGAGACGATGGAATTTGGCAGTTGCATTTCTTCTTTTTTTTTAATATATCTTTATTGATTTCAGAGAGGAAGGAAGAAAGAGAGATAGAAACAACAATGATGAGAGAGAATCATTGATTGGCTGCCTCCTGCACGACGCCTACTGGGGATCGAGCCCGCATCCCCGGCATGTGCCCTTGACCAGAATCGAACCTGGGACCCTTCAGTCCCGCAGGCTGACGCTGTATCCACTGGGCCAAACCAGCCAGGGCTGTTTCTTTACTTATACCTTGATTGGTTTCGAGAAGGACTTGCGGCATTTATAGAGCTACATATACCACAGGCCACTAAATGCTGCTACCATCACTGAGAGCAGCAGGAGGAGTAAAGTGTTAACAGGACAGGAAATCAAATGGTAAAGGGGAAACATGGGGAGAACGGCAACATGAACCCAGGGTTGGTACACAAAACCTGACACAAGGCTCTGCTTTCCAGTTGCTGGGAGTGGGCTACAGATCTGCTGACATGTCTAGAGGCCCAAGTAAATATTTGTTACATCATTCATATGAGTTTTGGGAGACAGTTCTGCGAATCCCCTTTGGTTTGTGTCATTAATATCTTCCCCCCTTTTGTTTGGAAACTGGGATGTCCTTTGTCTCCAGTTTCTGTCTCTTCTCCAAGGAGTCAGGTGGCTTGGAGCGCTCACTGGCAAACGATCTCATTTTACTTCTCCTCGTGCGATCAGGAGACGTGGACTAACTCAAAGCAGCACAAGGCTTCCTTAAAACTGCACGCCTCCAATGCTAGGTCTCCATTTCCTCTTACTAGTGTTTGTTATAAAATAAATCCCGTACTGCAAATAAAGACAACCATGAAATATGTTAAATCTAAGGCTATCGAATATAAAGAGTTGGATATATACTATGTAGAGAAACAGGCACTCTCAAACATTATCAGTAAGAATACACATCTGGCCATAGCCGGTTTGGCTCAGTGGATAGAGCATTGGCCTGCGGACTAAAGGGTCCCAGGTTCCATTCTGGTTAAGGGCACATGCCTGGGTTGCAGGCTCGATCCCCAATAGGGGGCATGCAGGAGGCAGCCAGTCAATGATTCTCTCTCATCACCATTGATGTTTCTATCTCTCTCTCCCTCTCCCTTCCTTTCTGAAATCAATAAAAATATATATTTTTAAAAATGTACATCTTCACTGCCTCTTTGGAGGAAGGAAAATTTGGCTACACTGGTCAAATTTCAAAATGCCCACACCCTTTGACCCCACAAGTCCACTTCTAGATCCGACAGGCAGAGGCACCCAAAGCTGTGCACAGTGATTGCACTGACATGTTCTTCTGGGGGCGGGGCTGGGGGGAGGGATTAACCGGGGAACTTATATGCACATATGCACAGCCCATGGACACAGACAATAGTGTGGGGAAGGCTTGGGAGGGTGGGTGTGGGGAGGAGGGGGTCAATGGGGAAAAAAGCCAACAAGAAAAAAACAAAGGGACATCTGTAATATTTTCAACAATAAAGGTAAATTAAAAAAAATTTTTTTCTTCCAGTAGCAAAAGACTGAAATAACCTACATGTCCACCAATAGGGGAGTTGATTAAGTAAAGTATGGCATATCCATATAATGGAATACTCATCCACTGAAAATAAAGCAGATGTATTCAAACTGATAAGAAACATTCTCCAAAATATGTTGGTGAAAAATGCAAGGGGGAAAGCAAGTAACTATCATTTTGTGTTTTTCTAAAAAGTGATGCTTGCCTTAGCCGGGTTGCTCAGTGGTTAGAGCACTGCCCCTCGGACTGAAGCATCTCGGGTTGATTCTGGTCAAGGGCATGTACCTCGGTCACAGGCTCGAATCCTGGCCCCGATTGGGGCATGTGCAGGAGGCAATCAATTAATGTGTCTCTCACATCTATGTTTCTCTCTCTCTCTCTCTCTCTCTCTCTCTCTCTCTCTCTCTCTCTCTCTCTCTCCCTTCCTCTCTAAAATCAATAAAACATATCATCAGGTGGCCTCTGAAGTTTCCACAGCTGGTGTGAACGGTTGGGCTGGATGGTGATTGTTTTTGCACATTAAAATGTGGTTTTATTTTGTCCGTTGGATGTCTGCGACTGGCTTCTTTTTAAGGTCACAAGATCCTTTGAAGCAAGGACGGTGTTCGTTCTGGGGCAGCACTGTTCATGTGGATTTTCATCCTGCTGTAGGAAGGAGGTGACTTCGCACAGCCGCCTCAGCTTTGGACTAACTGGACAGCCATGTCTCTGACATCACCGTGGGTTTTGACAGTTTAGTCTGGAATTCCCAGAAACAGTTTCCAAAACCAGAGGTGCCGTGTGGAGAGGACACGGCTGCATCCGAGGACCAGAGAGCCTTGTGTCCAGACTCTGACACACATTCGGTTTTTAACCTGTTTCTTCATAAAATGGGGCCGATAACAACACTCCCCTCACAGAATTGCCCTAAGGGCAGAGAGAGAAGGTATGTCGCTGTTGGACATGAACTGAGCAAGGACGAGGGGCCAGGTACAGAACTCACCGGGGCAGGAAACTCCGGATGCCGAGCAAGTGGCTAAACTGGGAAAACAAGGACCTCGCCCCCAGGGCAACCTGCCCTCCCCTGGCTTATCACTGGTCATGCGGGTCAGACCCCTGACCTTTTCCTCCCTAAGATAACATCTAGGCCTCTGTTGTATTTCAGCTCCAGGCCCAGAAAAAGCAGAAAAAAACAGACAAGTGATGCCAGGCTGCCTGGGCACCAGCCGCATTGACTAATGACCCCCTGTCCTGGCACCGACCCATCAGTGGAGACCGTGACCCTGAAAGAGCACAGCTGGGAAGCTGATGAAATTCTAACAAGACCCTCCCCTAAGATTTCCAGCTGCGAGAGGGAGATAAGTACACTCAGGACGAAGGACCCAGTGCCTGCTCTCCCTCCAAGGAGCACTCCAGTGCCATTCCCTTCTCTCCTCTTCCCACAGGCACGGTCCCCCAACCTCTCAGGGACCCCATGAGACTTGCAACCAGGGGAGCAGTGGGCCGTCAGCTCGTCCCAGGCTCGCCCCTGACCCCGTCTCCAAGCCCCCTTCTCTCTGCCCCCCCAGTGACCAAAGCAGCCCCGCCTGACTCTCCTGCTGCTTCCTCTATGCCCGTCCTTGTGTCACTGCTCTAAGTGTGTTTTTGCTGCCATCCTGGACCCAACACCCTTTGGCTCAGTGCTGTGCAGCCCTCTCCGCTGGATCTCCCAGTCCCCTTTCCTTAAATAATTCAGTTTTTCCCTGTTCCCGTCTGAGATGGCTAGTTAGCCTGCCAGGCACCCCTGCTCGAAGCTCTCACTGGCACAAAGAAGGCGCTCAGGAACAGCAGTTTCTACCCTGTTCCTTGTTTCCTATCACAGAGCGGACCCTCCTCCTAGAGGCCTTTGTAAAGGCGGCAGTGAAATAACAGGCGTGCAGTAAGCCCTCGGGACGGGCAGCTCCAGCGCTGCACGCGTGTTGGTTCTCCGGGCACCTGCAGCGGCCTCTGCGGTTACACGGTTATTTTAGACACGAAAGCCGCGGCCCAGAGAGGCCAGGCCACACCCAGGCTGCTCAGCGGGGCTGGGACTCCACCCGGCGGCGGGCCTGCCACGGCGCCGGCTCCGCACGCCCTCCCCAGCCTCCCCGGGGCCACCAGCCCGCGGCCGGGAGGAGGGAGCGAGCCCCCCGCTGCGCAGCCTGCGGGGCCGAAGGGGTTACTCCCACCGAGACGCCGCGCCCCGCTCCTAGAGAGGCTCTGTGGGCGGGGGCAGGCGCACTTCCGAACCGCGCGGGGCTCGGGGCACCCGGCCGGCTCGTCCCCGCCGGCGG